GAACTTCTCGCGATACATGTCATCGTCGCCGTGGTTGAGGAGCTTGGGGTAAGCATCCTTGGCAACGGCAAGTACGTTCAGGAAAGGTACTTCCGTCATGTTTTCAATATTCGTTAATGCAAGGGCAGAGAGCTCATCCATCCCATATTCCCGGGCGAAGCAGTAGAGGAGGGAATGTATCCCAAACTCTATATCGGCGTCGGGGCGTTTATTGGAGTTATCCTGCTCTAATGAAGGAAAATTTTGGGTTGGATAAGAACACCCTTGATACTTTCCGGTGTACAGGAACCTTACGGCGAGCTCGAAAACCACCGGATCTGTGTCCACTAGTGATATGCTGCCATGTTTTCCAGTAGCGGTTGCCGGACGCATCTTGTTTCCCAGCGATGAAGCTTGATTCAGGATTCCTAGGTGGACAAGGAATACTCTCTGGCCGCCAGTGGGACCAACGAGAACGTCAACAATCTCTGTTTCATAGGGGCTGGAAGAAATAGGGTGGCCATCTCCATTTGACATAGAAGCCGTGACAATCTCTGTGTTCCAGGAAACGGGGCCAAAAAGTGGTGGATATGTTCCGCTTGGGAAGAAGCTGGAAATGACGCGGGTATCCTGAAACAAAGTCGAAGTTCCCGCGCTCTCATTCGGTTGTGCATCTGCTACCCCATCTTTTAATCGGCTTAATGTTAGCAGTTTGCACAAAACTGGTTTCACGGCCAGGGATAACTTAACTGGAGGTCAAGTCACCTGAAGTCACAGCGCTCTTCTTCTTCTTGTTGGCCATTTCAGCCGCTGTTGGGAGTTTAGAGCTTCAAAAAAAAAAAAAAAAAAAAAAAAAAAAAAAGAAGAAGAAGAAAGGGAAAAGACTTAATATAAGCTTATGAGAGGGGGCCGGTCTAGCCTTTAGAGTCGTAATGAGACATACTCGTGAGAATTGATATACCCTCCACCCTCCATGGGATGTCAGAGATATATAGAGCTCCCAAGGCTCTTGGGAGCCCCTCCCGCTTCATGCTTTGGACCGCCTCCTAGCCCAATCACAAAGGGGGAATGAGCAAACATGCGGGGTATGGTAGGTAAATGAACTGTTGCAACGGGGAGCAGTAAACGCGGCATTGGAGGCCTCGTCCTAACGCTTCTGCTACATAATATGTTCCTCGATTTTCCATTAGGAGGCAGATGCGTGTCCAACCTCGCAGCTCTCTGCCGCATTGTGCTGGCCCTATTGGTTCAATGAGCAAAGAGACCCGTGTTTGGATGTATCGCCTCTAAGGGTTCGTGGACGAACCCATCAAAATATCAGTACCCCCCCTAACCCGCTCTGGAGGATAAACTCATTACTCATGG